ATTTATTCCTTTTCACTAAATTCAAATGTTCTATTTTCTATGACAGCGTTTCTGCAAGTAGGTGTATATATGTAAATAGCCATGTCTAAGAGCAGCTTTGCTGTAATAAATACGTGTCGAAGCGGTAAGTGATAGACACCACACKGGCGTGGCTACTGATAGTTTGGTGGTCTTTGCTCACGGCTTTGTCAAAGAAGAACAGGAAGCTTTTGCATGCAAAGTAACTTAGCTTTACAATAAATCTTTTTGATTGCAGATCATGCCAAGGTAAGAGGTGTCAATACTTAAATGAATTTTTTTGTTKAATTTCAAAATTAAGTAATGATGGGTTTTCAGCGGCGGATTGTGAACATCTGCAAGAGATCCGGCCATGCACCCAGAAGTACATAACCATGGTTCAGTATGTACTTCTGATGCACCCCAAAACATTTTGTTTCTAATCTGATCTTCAAAGCAATCAAACGGATAAAAATTTTATAAGAACTGATGAAACATGTCGAAATTATGATATGATGAAGCCAATAAATTATATGTATGCTATAATAAAATTAAATACTGTCTGATGAGTGTGATGAGTGCGTAGCACGAAACTCGGAGTAACAGAAAATCTTGCCTATTTGATATTATATATATGCTATAATACTAAGCTTGGTTCCAATTCTCTCTATAACGCATGGCTGTGCTTTCGCATTTTGCCATTCGGGTAACAAAGCCCTGAATCTAACTTGCATTTTGCCTCTTTGTAACTGGCTGAATGAATTTTACTCTGATCTCATATATATTTGGGAGCGAGCCCTGATAATCTGTCAGTAAACAATCGTGTATATCATGAGCCCTGCGATTTTTGCGGCAATCGAAAATTGGCAGTTGTTACTATATAGTATGACGTTCAACCATTGCTGTTAAAAAATACTGTTTTCCACGCCATATTTTATTGCGTATTCTTTCAGGTGAATAGACCACTTTCACAAGTGCCTACTATCGATTTTATATGATTGACAATATTAAGGAAACATTCAGCATTACTATATTGAAGAACTATCAGAAATAAGTAATTGTGCAAAGTTTTGAAGATATAGACTAAATACTAACGAAGTTATGGAGGAATGAAAATACAATTTCAGTGTAGAAATTCTTTACTGAGGCCTTGGTGACCTCGTTTTGGTGTTTTTGTGCATCTAACTTCAAGAGGATGTAATATTTTTCTTTGTTTATCTTTAGCTTTGATATCTTTATTTATCTTTGAGTGTTTTCKTCTGTCAACATAATGAATTTAACAATAATATGCTAATTAGTCTCGGTCATTGTTAAAGTCAAGTCGTGTATTGTCTCTAAATAGCCGGTATTTGTTAGCATTTAATTTGGTTTTATTTCATGATTTTCCTGCGTTTGCTCTATACTAATGTACTTATTGCTATTTTTTTTTTTTTTTTTTTTTTTGCAGAACCTGTCTTCACAATTTCACTCGGTACATTTTCGGTRGAGAAACCAAAGCAGAAAACAAAAGAATGAAGTATCTGTGGTTAATCGTTCTTCTTGGAACGATACATGCTTCTGTTGGAAAACCAACGGGTAAGATTTCAAGCTGATTCTGTAAGCGTTAGCAGTTTGGAGTGAAATATGCCAGTAGATGGAATCAAGTGTTTTGATCTTTTTGGCCGCTAACAAGCAAGTTGGTTCAGTACTATTTTTCCTTTCGCATGATTTTGCAGCCAGCTACCAAATAGTCTTCTTCACKTTTCCCTGCGCCAACTTGAAAGGACGTGCCTAGACTCCTTCGCAGGCTACTCCATCGGAAACTGACATTTTTCTCTTCTTGGTCTTCCTGTGTTCATATTCTTGACCGAGAAGAACTGGTGTCGAGAGATTAGGAATTAAGCCCCTCCCCCTCCGGCAGCTTTTTTGCCTTAACACAGGAATCCCACGGAGTAGAGTTGCCTGCGAAGGAGGCTAGGACGTGCCCGTAATTTGCATCGAAGCGAGACGACCGTTGAGCGTGCAATCATGATAGAAAACTTCTTTCACAWTTAATTATATTACTATAATTGCACGCTCAACGGTCGTCTCACTTCGATGTAAATGCACGGCTACCTTTCAAGATGGCGCAGGGAACCGTCAAGGAGACTATTCATGAGACTATTCATGATTTAACCTTCAACGSCAGTATCAATGGTCTTTACRTGYAAGCAAGCAAGTGTGACCTTAGTGCAAAGGCCAGAATTGGTGATTTCTTGTCAATGATAAATTGTGATTGAAAAATGCAGGAGACCAATTATTGTCCCTAATGATTCTCCAAACCGTTTTAATAGGTAACAATGCGAATTGTGGAAAACGACCAGACTTGACGACATCGAAACGCATCGTGGGGGGTAATGAGAGTCAGCAAGGATCATGGCCATGGCAAGCGGCAGTGTTGGTTAATAATATTCAGTGGTGCGCAGGCTCACTTATTAACGACTACTGGGTCGTCACTGCTGCCCATTGCGTGCTTGGTATGTATGTTTTTTGCCTCAACTTTATATCAGTTATATCAGCTATTTGTCTTCCTAACCTCAGGTCCTTCTATGGCTGTTATGGATCCTAAGCTACTCACCGTAGCACTTGGAGAACACAAACTTGGCGTGAATGAATCGTTCGAGCAAATCAAGAACGTTCAACAAATCATCTCTCATCCTAACTTCAATTTCAGCTTCGATAAAAACAAACTCCTTTTTGTTGATAATGATGTGGGTGAGTATGATTCGGAAACAATTGGTTAATATATATCAGTTAAAATGAGTATAATGCTACTGAAGGACGGCTTCCTAATATATATTTTCTTAATTTTGAATTGAGAGCTATACAGTTTAATTCAGATTCAAAACGTTTAGCCAAAACACTATTAWGACAAGAGACCGAGAGGCAATTGGTCTACTGCATGTGCTTATTATCATGCCTGCTTTTTGGACTGGAAATTGGTTCGCTTGTAACTATTTCTAAATGATTCTTTTCTCATTCTTTCAGCTCTTCTAAAACTCTCCACACCAGCTACCTTTGACACCTTTGTCAAGCCAATTTGTCTCCTTCCTAARGGAATTACGTTTGATTGGGGAACTGAGTGTTACGTAACAGGTTGGGGACACACTCAGTTCAATGGCACTCAGCCTGATGCTTTGAGAGAAGCTAAAGTGGAGCTTGTTTCTCATGAAGTCTGCAACGGCAAATTATCCTATCAAGGTTATATCAACGATGTTGCTTTATGTGCAGGTTTTGAGGAAGGTGGGGTTGATGCATGTAATTATGACAGCGGTGGGCCACTTGCTTGTAAGAGGGGGGGTCGGTTTTACCTTACAGGGATAGTGTCATGGGGACATGAATGCGCCCTGCCCCACAAATATGGCGTGTATACCAATATGATGGTTCTCACATCTTGGGTGAAAAACAACATCTGAACTCATATTATCATGACTTAACGACTAARAGGGTTCCAAAGGTTAATTGGCATTTCTAATAACATTTTGTAGCAATTAGTAYGGTCGGGAAATAAAGCTGATTAAAGATCAATTGGGTACTAATACTGACTCAGACTTAGGCACTATCAATTTTTATCTTTATAAGCTTCATGCAAAACTTAGATGCCGTCAAATTCTACGATTACAAAGTATCATGGGATGAATCTGTAATGGTAATTGCTGCCTGATTTATGGTTATACCTTTAATTTAAGTCCGTGGATTTGTATAATATTTCCAGGACAGGCTGTATAGTTTAGGTAAAACAAAATGAATGTAATACCGATGATATATCCATATTCTTAGTAATATATACAATATGAGCGGGCGATCTGTATGAGGATTTAAAACAGCGAGCTGAAAGCGAGCTGTTTTAAATCCTCATACAGATCGCACGCGAATATTGTATATTACTTATGAAACGTTAAGGTAAATTAGCTCAGGTTTTAAAGAAACTTTTGAAAAAAAATTCAATCTGACTGAGAAAATCAGAGTAAAAGTTTATGCAAATGAACAAGAAATCTGTATGTAATATACAACTCTCTTCATGGGCTATGATTTCTATTGTGTTTTGCCTTATGAATATTAATGAGTTTTATAAGTTGATATTCAACATTGAATATGACAGCACGTAAGAGCAATATTTCGGTTTTATTACAAAACCATCACCAGGCTAAAGTGAATGAGTAGCCTGGTGATGGTTCTGTAATAAAATTGAAATATCATGCTCTTGCTGTCTCATTCTCTTCGATGTTCAGTATCAAATAGGAATATGAATATATTCCGTTTTACACTCATTTTGCTAAATATATATCACGGGCGGATCGAGGGGAGCTCATTAAATGCACCCGCACCTCCGCAGTCTCCCAGCAAGCACACATCGGCCAATGTTACATATGATGTCTTTCTAGTTCATGACGCGAACCCGAAAAAAACTGAATCCGCCCCTGTATATATATATATATGAGAGGGTACATCACAAAAGGGGTCTTGTGTCTAGCGTGAAAATCCAGCCCTCCCAAAGAAGCCAATTAATTCACGGTGCGCATCAAAAGGGTCTTAATTCTTTAGATACCTTTTGTGCTGTCCCTTCTCATATATATATATATATATATATCCACGGACTAAAGCTTAACATAAATTCTTGAAATACCTAGTTCTGATCACATGCGCAGTTTTGTAGCAAATCTAAAAGGGTTCTTAAGGCTAATTCCAGTATAGTCTTGCAAACTGATGGCTTTCTATAAACGGTAAGTACAATGGTAAGCCACAAACGTCCACCTTATAATATAGCTTCGATTAAATTTTTGTAATGTCTTGATGAAAAAAATGTTGTCCTTCGCGTTCGACAATTGAAGACTCTTCATGTAGAAAATGCACAGAGCGGCGTTTCTACCATTTCAGTTTAATAACAAAATGTGGAGTATCGAGGGGCAAACTGAGCACCAGCAAGCTGGCTAATGGTCACGCGAGATCGTTAAACATTGATGCTCTGATGAGTAATGAGGCTCCACTCATCGACCACAACGTCACTGAAATAATAAGAGGGTTCAGTTATTATCTTATATGTATATATTAAKTTTACGAGGTTGGATCAACCACGTACACAGAGTTGCCAGAAAAGTAGTCTTGCGTACTGCAGCCGCTGTATTTTATTTTAGTCTTCTTTGTGTGTTTTGCTGAATTTTGAGTCATATCTAGACTTTAATTTCTTTCAGTGGTCCACTTACTTTGAAACGTTCTGTCAGTGTTACTGACTTCCCTTCGAGAAAATTTCTTTCTCTCGTTCAATTCACTTTACATAGTCAAAACAAAGCATTGAAAACAATCCATAAAATGGCATCACACTCATGAGCTGTTGCATATAATATCCTATATTACACTTCTCTGAGTATTTATATAAAATTAAATGGAATCATTGACAATCCCACGACATCAATGTAAATACAGTCAGATCAGTTGTTGCTTATGGAGATATCATTTTTCCTTTCGTTATTATCGCGGCACTTGCATTTTAAAAATATGACTTTAAAAGCAATTCTAAATTTTCTCATTCTAGTGCAGTATATGAATGGGTTTAATAACGAATTTACAAGTGATGCCATCAATGTAACAAAGAAGACTTGTTCGTATCTCACCACTGTGCAAATATCTTCCTCTGCAGCTTGAATAATAATTAGCACAAAGTTAGGAASCCAGCTTATGGCAAAGCATACAATAATCATCATCATCGTTATTGAATATCTCCAATGTTTCATAGCTTGTTTATTACGTTTTACCAGCATATCCTGTGAAAGCTCATTTAKCTGTAAGATTTCAAAAGATCCATTATGAAGGTTTTTCGTTGGAAATATGCAACACTTCATGATCTTTCTATGGGATGATGTGTTAGCATTTTTACCACTCGATGCAGCTCGAGATTCTAAGCTTTGGCCTTTTTCATTTCTTTTTAATGACACCACAGGACATACGGAGTCTTCGCGATCAGAAGATTTAGTGTCTTTTTGTATTAAATTGTGAGAATTTGGAAGTGGCTGAATTTCTGGTGAACTGCAATGTATCTTGTCGTTCTGCACTATTTTACTTGTTTGTTCATTCGCACTTTC